TACTTCTCTGCTAGCCTCCGTTACTCGTCTGCCATGCGTGACGCCGTCGAGATTGAATCACTCAGCAGGTTGTTGTATCGCGTCATCGAACGCTGAAATAAATAATCCAGACTGGTTGTCCGCTTATATCGAGAACGTCTGCAACTTCTTGGTCGGCACCGACGTGTTACACGCGATCAGCTTCGTCGTGACTCAATCGACTGTCTCCATACTTAGCATAGCGGCGTCGCATTTGCAGTAGCTGTACCTGCAGCTTCTCTGACGAGTTGTTGCCCCTTAGAACGGCAAACAACCGTAGACCACAGCCGCGTAGCTGTTGATGGACTTGATGGTCTCCTTGTTGTTGAAGAAGTCCGACAGCAGCGGCTGCTCCTTGGGGTACGGGTGGAGCCGCCCACCAGGACAACCCCGTGCACCTCGCTCTTGGACAGCTTGGCGTCGCGGAACAACCTTTCCAAAGGGGTCCATCACCTTTGGAAGTAGTTGCCGCACATGTCCTCAAAACGATCAAGCGTGGTGGTTGAGTTGAAGCCCGTGCTATCGAACAGAGAGTAGATCCCGATGCAACCTGGCCGACGGCGACGCAGTAACACGCTCGCAGGTAGCCCGCAAACAATGAAGAGCATACTGATTCTCCGTCAGCTCGTTGATGATATGCAGAACTTTTAGGCCAGCGGTGGCGCCGGCATCCTTGGTGGACCGATGGTGCGAGCCATTGAGATAGCGTCCTTGGACTCCTTGGTGATGAAGGCCTCAACCACCTGGTCCTGCTCCATGGACGAGATCTCCTCGGGGTGGAACGTCTTGCTCTCATCCTTGACCTGCATTGTGATCAATGGCTTGTTCCCCCGTCACCAGAGTGACGGTTAGTGCGTGGTGTAGGCCGGTAGTGCCTTACAGTGCACAGTCCTCTGGACAGGCTCTGGCCCAGAGTCGCGTGCGTTGAGTTGGAAATAAAAAATAGTGTACTGCACAATGTGTGGCTCACGCAGGGCATTTTGCTCCTTTTTATTATTAATAACTGCTATCTAATCGGCTATTAGTGGTTGTCAGAGTTAAAGTTCAGACGGTTTTTCAGAACATAAAATTAACCAAGGACTGATCGTTAACTCTGACAACCCCTTTCAGTTCAGATCTCCAGAAGTCAGGCACACCTCTCAGCGTTTTTCAAAACCCTTTTAGCACCATGCCACGAATCTCAAACCGTGAGCGGCTTCGTCGAGAAATTACCACCAGCTTAGCACTCTCAGAGCCGCCGTTGATCAAGCTCGGAGCGTCGGCACGTACTCGCCTACAAGAAGCCAGTGATGATGATGACGAGACCGACATGTTACTGGAGCTACTCTACGTAGTAGAGACGTCTCGCTACACCATTCCTAGGAACCGCCGAGGCCTTCGATCCTCACAAGTGCCTCACTACCTCTACGACTTGCCATCGGACAAGTTCCTGTCAAATTTTCGAGTATCAAGGCCTGCGTTCTTTGCTATCGTAGGCCTGCTACAGACGAATTCTGTTTTCGAAAGTCCTGTCAGCAAGATGAAAAAAGCGCCCGTAGAGGTTCATTTGATGGTCGCAATTAAGTATTTTGGATGCTATGGAAATGGTGCCTCTCGGGACAGTCTAGATGCATTTTTTTGGAGAAGAAGCTGTGTTGTGTTACCGATTTCCACAGAGCGGGTCTGCGCACTGATAAGTTCCAACTGCGCCTTGGCTTGATTTTCTTCTCGACTCTCTCGCTTTTCCTCAAGTTGAAGACACTTTTCTTCAAGTTCCAGCAGCTTAGCGTTTGCTTGGTCTCTCGCGTGCTGACTCTTTTCACGAAGCCTCGTTAGAGCTGACAGCGAGTCCCCCTGTTGACGCTTGTTACTGGTGCTCTCAGCAATGCTTATCGGCCACTTGTTCTTCCCTTTGCTCTTCGTTATTTCGTCCAGGTCATCGGTTGTTTGGCTGGGCCGAGTTGACTGGCGATCGTTCATCGCTGGTGACAGCTCGTAGTAATAAGGACATCGTTTAACGAGGCCAGATCGAATGGACGTCTCATCCGTGACGCCTTGTCCCGTATTGGCCAGTCAGTCCACAGCCGCACGGTACTTCG